GTAATGCACTAAATTGAAACTTTTAGTAGTGTAATACGGCAAAAACATGTTTATTTTCCAGGAAGTAATGAAATTGCTTTACTGTTCAGTGTTAAGGCCAGCTGACTGTTACAATGCATGCTTAGGCTTTTGTGCAGTGCTTTCCAGAGCTCCCTTTTCAGCTTGCCCAGCTTTCATTCCTTGATTGCATTGTGCATTTATTTTCTCCAGTGATTGTTTGAACCAAAGCAAGTCAGCACAGCAGATGAGCAATCATTTACCTGGCAAAGCCCTCCTGAGTAACATTAAACATTATAAATTCTAGCATGCATTCATTATTATAGGAGACCTAATCAGTCTGATTGAACTTCTTAATGCCTTGTGTGGCCGTTCTCTGCTCTCATAGCCGAAGCCAAGCCATCAAAGAACCACCACAAGGCGGGCAAAGGGCAGTATGTCCTGGCCCTGAGGTGTGGGTTAGGCTTTGCAGCGTCTCTGCTGGTCTACGCACTCTTTTAGGAAGGAATCAGGGCCAATGTTACCCATGAGAAAGGTTTGCTTGGAGTCTGATAGTGAATGGATTTGATTGTGTTTGGGATGTTTCTGTACACATTCCAAACTGAAGCAAGCAAAAAAGCAACCCTCCCCATGAGGTAGCTTCTGGTACAATTTGAAGTGCTGGCTGAGTCTTGAGAGAAACTGGAGAACTGCAATGGGGCAAAAACAGACTCCAACAAGCTGAGCTGCTCTGAAAGTGTTGAGATGGGTGTGGTGGTTTTACCCAGCTGGGCAGCTGAGCTCCACCGCAACTGCTCTCTCACTCCCCCTCCTCAAAGTGAAAGGGGGAGAAAATATGGTGGAAAGGGCTCAAGGCTTGAGATAAAGACAGGGAGAACACTCAGCAATTATCATCACAAACTTAGCGTAGGGTGATTAATGAAAGTTATTACCTATTACTAACAAGCTAGAGAAATGAGAAACTAAACAAACAAACAAACAAAAAACACTAAAACCACCTTTCCTCCCATCCTCCCCCGCCCCCCCCCCACACACACACCTCCCTGAACAGCGGCAATGGGTACTGAACTGCTCCCACACGGCTCCGTACCACGGGGTCCATCCATCCCCCAGGAGCAAACTGCTCCAGCACGGGTCCCCCACTGGCGGCAGCTCCCCCCAGACCCCCTGCTCCTGCGTGGGCTCCTCTCCACGGGCTGCAGCTCCAGCCCGGGGCCTGCTCCTGCGGGGGCTCTCCATGGGCTGCAGCCTCCTCCAGGCCACATCCACCTGCTCCACCGGGGGCTCCTCCACCCATGGGGGGGCTGCAGCGTGGAGATCTGCTCCATGTGGGACCCATGGGCTGCAGGGGGACAGCCTGCTCCACCAGGGGCCTCTCCCTGCACAGCCCGCAGGGGAACTGCTGCTGCCTGCCTGGAGCACCTCGTGCCCTCCTGCTGCACTGACCCTGGGGGTTGCAGGGCTGGTGCTCACTCCTTGCTCTCCCAGCTGCTGTTGTGCAGCAGTTTGTTTTTTTTTTTTTTCCCTTTCTTAAATTGCTCTCACAAAGGTGCAAACAACATTGTTCATTGGCTCAGCCCTGGGCAGCGGTAGGGCCCTTTGGAGCCTGCCAAAACTGGCCTTTATCTAACATGGGGCAGCTTCTGGATTCTTCTCACAGAAGCTACCTCTGCGACCAAAACCTTGCCACGTAAACCCAGTACAATGGGTGAGGAAACTGACGGGCTATGTGAAACAGGGAAGAATTGCTTTTCTCTGCATGGGATTACTGTTCTTTATGAGCGAACTGTTTGACAGGTAGAAACCATTTTGGGTTTCTAAAAACAATACCTTATGTTTCCCTGTTGTTTTTAAGTGTGTGCTTGATCTCAACCCAAAGCTTTATTACTGTGGAATATCCTGAGTGTTTCAGACAATATTGGATGGATAAATCAATTTTATTCTGTCCCTGGTTCAACTGTCAGACTGGAAAAGTATATTACTGCATCTAGAAATAAGGTTTCACCACACGGAAATTACTTGTTAGTTTAGTACTCCTGAAAAACGGTTTAAACGATTATCATGATAATATTCCATGGAATTAATTAATGATACGAAATACGTGCAGATGATGCAAAACTGGGAAGAGCTGTTGACTTTCTCATGGGTAGAGAGGCCTTGCAGAGAGATCTTGACAAATTATGGCTGGGTAATCCCCAACAATATGAAGTTTAACAAGGCCAAATGCCAGATTCTGCAACATTGGCTATATGCACAGGTTGGGCAACTGAATGTTGGAGAGCAGCCCCATGGAAAGGGATCTGGGGGTTCTGGTTGATTGCAAGTTGAATATGAGCCAACAGGGTGCCATGGCAGCCAGAAGGGCCAAACATGTCCAGGGCTACATTGAGGATGGCACCGCTAGCCCGTAAAGGGAAGGGACTGTCGTGCTCGGGCCTGCGCTGGTGCGGCCTTACCTTCAGTACTGTGTGCAGTTTTGGGTGCCACAATGTAAGAAACGCATAGAACTGTTATAGAGTGCCCAAAGGAGGGCTACAATGATGGTGAAGGACCTAGAGGGCAAGATGTACGAGGAGTAGCTGAGGTCCCTTGGTTTGCTCAGCCCCAAGCAGAGCAGGCTGAGGGGAGGCCTCATGGCGGTCTGCAGCTCCCTCACGAGGGGAGCGGAGGGGCAGGCGCTGAGCTCTGCTCTCTGGGGACAGCGACAGGACCCGAGGGAACGGCATGGAGCTGGATCAAGGGAGGTTTGGGCTAGATATTTGGAAAAGGTTGTTCACTGAGTGGGTGTTTGGGCACTGGGACAGGCTCCCCAGGGAAGTGGTCATGGCACCGAGTCTGATGGAGTTCAAGAAGTGTTTGGACTCTCAAAGGGTTTGATTTATGGGTGGTGCTGTGGGGAGCCAGGAGTTGGACTCAATGATCCTTGTAGGTCCCTTCCAACTTTGATATTCTGTGATTCTGCGATTCTACGATGTGTTGTAAGTACGTACTAAGCTATAATAGGTATTGTCAGAAAACTTTTTTTTTTTTTTTTTATGTAGTAGATAGTATGAGTATAGCAGTAAGATGAGTGTCCTCATCAGTGGTCTCTTCAGGATGTCTCCAGTGCTCAGGTGTCCAGTTGCACATCAAGGACATCCATGGCTCCCAGGCCGAAGGCCGAGCTCTGGGCCTAGTCCCCAGCCTGGCAGCCATTGCTCCTGCCAGCGTGGAGCAGCCATTTTCTGTCAGCATTTTCTCACAACAGTCAGGTTCCCTCCATCAGTGCTGCCATCAGGGGCGCCCCAGGAGCCGCGTGACATCACCACAGAGTCACTGTCACCCTATGGCCTCACAAAATGTAGCTGGCTCTAAGTGCCCTGAGCGTTGAGTCCTGCTGAAGGCATCTGAGACACCAAGGTCCTGCTGGCAGAATGTGAGAGGTTGAGGTGTTGCTGATGGCATGCAAGACATCAAGGCCCTTCTGATGGCATGCAAGACATCGAGGTCCTGCTGGTAGCACGAGACATCAATGTCCTGCTGGTAGAACACAAGATGTCCTGCAAGTGGCAACCAAGGGATGTGGACTGGAGGCTGCTGATAGTTGCCTGGCACCTGGACAGCCTCCTGCAGAGGACAAGCATCTCCACACTGGGGCAGCCACAGGCACCATGAGCTAGCCACCCCAGGAGCTGCTAGTGGAGACCTGGAGGGTTGAGACATGGGCCATCTACCTAGGCCCACTGACCGACACAGCTCGCCTGGACTTCTGCAGACACCATTTCTGCATGGAGCGCATCCAGCCCCGAGCTGCTGCCAGGGCCAACTACCCACTCTGCCTGGCCCTGCGGAAGGTTCCAACCCAGCACAGTGCTAGGGCTGCAACTTCTAGGGGCAGCTGTGATGGAACCCATCCAGCTACCGATTCTGCAGCACCTCATCCAGGTGTAGGGAGCACAGGGAGCGCAGCCCGTCCATGCCCCACCAATGTGTCCACTGCCTCTTATGGCACTGGGAGTGGATGGGCACGGACAGGCCTGGTCCTCATGTCATCAACCACAAGGACACCTCATGGCTTTGCTAGGCTTGGCAGGAGCCAGGGGCTGGATTTCTGCTTGCTGCAGCTCTGCTTCGGCCCCGGATTTAATCTGGGGCCTGCAAAGGACGTAGCTCTTCTGTTAGTGCATGGTGGTGTCATGCGAGGCTAGGCAAACATGTGGCCAGGGCCTGCTCAAAGGGCAGGCACCACTTTGGTATTTACTTGTGTTGTACATGAGTAGAAAATAGACTTGCTACCAGCTGGAATTAAAACTTTGTTAAATTACACTCGTGTAAAGATTACTAGCTGGGTCCAGTAATTTAGCTAGCTGGTGGAGAGGTCAGAGCTACTTCTTATTAGTTGTAGAGCACATCTTTCTATATGCTCATAGTTGGAAGGAACGTTCACTGCTAATAAAACTGACTTTATCCAAGAGCGGACTCCCAGCTGGGGGAAAGCAGTGCGCATTTCCCTAACCCTGGCAAGGTGATTCACATCGCGCTGCGGCTCAGACATGCCATTTCCAACTGAGAGCCGCCGAGACACATCAGCACGCTTCGTGTGACGAGGCAGAACGAAGGTGCTGCTGTTTTATCGCGCCTATGCCCCGCACAGCACAGGCACAGAGACGCCAAGCGCCCTCAGCGCTGGGAGCGAGCCGGGCCGCATCCACCCCCTGGCCTGCCGGAAGCGCCATCTGCCCCCCCGCCCCGCGCCGCGCCATTAACAGGGGCGACCCTCTCGCGAGAGCGCGGCGGTGGGCGGGGCCGCGCCTCGCGAGAGCTGCTCGGAGCGGGGCAGCGAGGACGAGGAAGGAGGGGAGGGGAGCCGCGAAGGGGACGGGGCGAAACCTCGCGAGAGCGGGGCGGCGCGCCGGGCTCCGGGCATGCGGGCGAGAGCGGCGGCCGCGGCGCGCGATTGGCGGCGCGCGGCTCCCCCCCCGGCGCCGGCCCCGCGCATGCGCGGCGCGCCGCCGGGCCGTGTCCCCGGTGCGTGTGGCGGGGCGGTGCGCGGCGCGGCGCTGCGGGCCCGGCCGGCCGCGGGCACGGTAAGCGGGCGGGCAGCCGGCCGGCGGCTGGCGGCGGGAGGCGGCCGAGGAGCAGGAGCAGGAGGCCGAGGAGGGGGCCCGCTGCCCGGCGCCCGCCTGCCGCTGCGGCGGGAACGCGGCGCCGCGTCGCCATGGCGCCCTGAGCCCGGCGGCGGCCGAGTGGCAGCGCCGAGGCCGCGTCCCCGCCGCGGGCCGTGAGCGGGCCCCATGCCGAGCACCTCGGAGGCGGCGGCGGGCGGCGGCGGCGGCGGCAGCGGGGGGAGCCGGGGCTGGGCCGGCGGCGGCGGCGGGGCGGAGGCGGGCGGCGACAAGAAGCGGCTGCACCACCGGCGGCGGAAGCGCTTCGCGGCCCAGCCGCAGCCGCCCCCCCCGCCGCCGCCGCCGCCGCCCGCCCCGCACCCGCTGCTGTTCCCGCTGCTGCAGCCGCCCCTCCTGCAGCCGCCGCTCCTGCAGCCGCCGCTGCCGCCGCAGTCGCTGCTCTTCCTGGCGGCCACCGGCGCCTCGTCGTGCTGCGGGGACGGCGGGGAGCGGAAGCGGCCGCGGGGCAAACGGCGCTCGGGCTCCCGGCACAAGCGGCGGCGGGGCCGCGGCGGGGGCGGCGGCGGCGGCGGGGCGCAGGAGGCGGAGAAGCGGCGGGGCGGCGCGGGGCTCGGCACCCTGCTGGAGGAGTACGACGACGTGAGCTCCCAGTCCGAGGGGCTGGTGGGCGGCGGCGCGGCCGGAGCCGGCGGCGGCGGTGGAGGAGGAGGAGGAGGCAGCGGGGCGGGGAGCCCGGCCTCCTCCCCCGGCGGCAGGCAGCGGGGCGAGGCGGAGAGGAGCAGCCGGTCCCGCCGGGAGCACCGCAGCAGCAGCGGCCGCTCCAAGGAGCGGCACCGGGAGCACCGGCGGCGGGGCGACGACAAGCCGCAGGAGGGGGCGGCCTCCTCCAGCCGCGGGGGTGGCGAGGCCACCTCGTCTTCGTCCTCTTCCAAGTCCCGCAGCCGCCACAACCACACCGGCGGCCAGGACCGGGAGGGACTCAAGAGCAGCAGCAGCAGCGACCGCAGGAAGGGGTCCCTTGCCTCGCCCAGCAGCAGCAGGAAGGAGCGGGAGAGCAAAGCCCACCGCAGCCGGACTAAAGCGGCCAAGGAGCCGCCGTCGGCTTACAAGGACCCGCCGAAAGCCTACCGGGACGACAAGCCCGAGCCCAAAGCCTACCGGCGACAGCGCTCGTCCCCCAGCCCCGGGCGGGATGACAGCCCCCCGCTGCACCGCTCGTCGCAGAGCCAGCGGAGCCGCAAGTCCCTCAGCCCCGTGGGCGGCCGCTCGCCCCTCAGCCCCTACAGCCGCCGCCGCTCCCCCAGCTACAGCAGGCACAGCTCCTACGAGCGTGGCGGGGATGTGTCGCCCAGTCCCTACAGCAGCTGGCGGAGGTCACGGAGCCCCTACAGCCCCGTTATCCGGTGAGTGCGGGGTGAGGGAGGCTCTACGGGTAAAGGAGGGGAGCAGAGGCCAGGGCTGGGCCCGAGGGCGGGCTGGAGAGGCTTGCAGCTGGCAATAAAAGGCCTCCCTCTTGCTGCCAGAGAGCTGTGTGGAAAGGGAACTGGGCCTCATACAAAGATCGGCCTGTCCTGCCCTGCCCTGCCATGGGGAGAGGGAGGCGGGGGTGATGGTGACACTCCTGCCGCTGGTTCCTCCCTGTCAGAGACCCTGCATAGCTGGCAGAGGAGCCTGCCAGGGCTGGAGCCCAAGAGGGCACTTTCAAGTGAGAATGACCCAATGAAAACATTTCTTGGAGGACAAATTTTCCAGAGGTCCGATTTTGGTTTTAAGTCTTACGACATATGGTTATTCTCAGGTACATCCTTATTCTACCTCCTATACCCCTAAAGAAGAGGATGCATTTTAAACATATTTTTGTCGATTTACTTCCCACTAGTCTAAAGAGGAACCAAGCTGATGGGTAATTCACGTTACTAGTGTTTCTGGTTCGTTTTAGAGGCCTGTAGAAAGATTCAGACTTGATTTCAGTAGGAAAATGAGCCAATGTCAAGTTTTGCTAAATTGCCTCTGTGTTTTACACAGCTTATGAAAATTCACCTGAGCTTGTTTCACAGTACTTGTTATTTGGTGTGTGCTTGAAAATTATTTTCTTAGTGGGGACAAAGAATGTGAAGGTTGGTGTTTCTGTGACTTTCAGAGTTTCACATAGAGCAGAAACGGGGACTGTATCTCTATAATCAGAATTAAAGCACTTGAAAATATTTTCGCTTACAGCAAAACCACTGGGAATGTAAAGTATTTGGTTAGTATGTTTTTAGCATTGAAAATTCTAATTTCCCACATTGAAACTTTACTGTTGCCCCGTTGTTTATGAGCTTGCTTAAATTCACATCTGGGCTTAGATTTCAAATGTATTGGGTGATATGTTGGCAAGAAATTTGTTTGCAATGTGTTACCCGGTAGGTTGTCTGAGAACTATTCTCTAGTGTTTCTAATACATCAGTTACCATTTGGGGTGGGTATCCTTTGATGATGCCCAAGTTGTTCCTATTTTTTGCTGGCTGTTGGTAATGTCTGCTGTCTGGGGTGCACATCCTGTGCTGCTCATAGAATGAAGTAACAAAACTGTGCCCTGTTTTGTTCAGAGGTGCAAAACAAAGGTGCCTTTGGAGGAAAGAAAGAAAAAGTGGTTGTTTTAAGGTAGGGTTGTATGGAAAAATGTTGTTAACAATAGGGTGTTTCAAGCAGAGAGCACTGAGTGCTCTAAAAAAGAGCACTCTGTTGTTGCTCCATGGAGCCTGTTCCAAGTTGTTAAGGATACTTTTGCAGGATGATTTGAATAATAGAATAGCAGGAATGTTACTGGAATATTTGGATTTAACCACTCCACAGAATATTTTCTGTAGATGTTTTTGTCTTGGAGTAAGAAAGCCGAATAATATCAGAGCTGCATGCACAAGGTTTGTGCTTCCGAGTAGCCATGTTAGCCAGACTGACAGTCCCATTAATTTGGGATCCCATCTGATGTGCTGGCTGATGCTGCTGTAGCAGCAGGTACAGAAGATCTTGTAGGGTGCTGTTACAGGGCAGAGTTCTGTAGGTGTTCTTTGTTTACTTCTTCCTGCGGGTAGGGGACCTGTGGTTTGAAGTGTGAGTTTGTTTCCTCATTTTTGTATTGTCTTTGTCATAAGCGTGTAAATCTTCCTCGAGTTACAGGTCTGCTTTCAGGAGTTAGCTTTGTGATTTCACTCCTTCCTTCCTACAGTTAAACTGGAATTTGCATCCCGCCTTTATCTGGGTACAGAGAAATCGTTTTGTTAACTAATTCAGATTGTCAGGTTTATTGGAGAGGGATCGGAATGGCTGAGAGAAAGAAGTTGTTTCATGTAGAAGGCTAGGTCAGTCTGTCCTAATGTGGCATTAATTTTTAAAACGTCATTTCCACAGAAAAAGAAGGAAAACAAAAGCACGAGGATAAGCTTTGTTGTTCATAATGTTTGCCTCTTGTGGAGAAACGCAAGTTACTGTTTCTTTGCTGTCATGCAGCTCCTGCGCATTACGTGCGTTGTGGTGGTGCTTGGGAAATAAAGATGGAAGATAATGAACTGATCGGTTTAGCCCTTCAAAACTGTCATTGTTTTTATTGCTTAACTTTCTGGTACTGCACCTAAAATGCTGAAAATTGTTGCTGTGTTGCTTAGATAATGGTATAGCAGCCTTAGACCTGGTAGAATATGATTTCACGAAGGCAAGAGCTTTGTACAGCACCTGTCTGCTTGATCTGGATGATTTAAGGATGTAATTCTGGGCTTGTGTCCAGCTGTAATGGTGTCAAGACAGTAAGAACTTTGTATGTTACTAAGCATTGCAGCCTTGTTCTTTTCAATCTCTTTCATATATGAATCTCCAATAATGTTATATTAATTATTGAGTTATTTTGGGATGCAGAAAATGAGAATGAAGTGGTTCTAGCAAGCCTGAAGAACTCGAGTGTCTGGAGCCCTGATTTTTTCATCTCTGAGTTGCTTAGGGAGAAAGTTCCAGTAAACAGTAGAAGAGAAACAAGTGAAGTCAGTGCCACTCGTTTCAATTCCTGGTTTTCTGGAGCAGCAGTAACAATGAAATTAATGCGAGTTACCAGTTCTGATTGCAGTAGTGATGGGCTGGTATCTTTCGCCGGTGTTGCCTGGAGATTGCTTCTGAACAGAATCAAAGACACTAAATACGTGTTTTGTGCTTGGAAAATTATCTTTGAATGGGAGACTAATTGCCTTTGCCATTATAATCGCAATAAACATCTATGTTTTGGGCAAACTGATTGGTTGAGCTCTTTCCACTTGCTGGACAAAACTTTTTTTACTTGCTGCTGGTGGATTTGGAGTATGTTTTCTTGTGGACTGTAGCAGAGTTGTTCTGAAGCAGTGTGTGCATTTCTCCAGAATGGGAATTCTTCCATAATATGAAAAGCATGAGGAGGTTATTTCCCTACTGAGAAGTGGACTTGATTTTTATTAAACTTAGGGATTTTTTTTTTTAATAAGAAAACACCAAGATCAACAAAACAAACAGTCTCTTTTTTTTTGAAACTGGCTTACGATGAAATTGTAGGGGGAGAGCTATTTATTTTTTTTTTGTAACTTCAGTCAGGTCATATGCTATGTGATCACACATTTAATTCAGCTAGTTGTATAGATGAGTAATTGTGTTTTTCCAAATGTGGATACACCTACCCATCTGCCTGGGATAAAAGTAAGTAGGTGGGGCACCACTAGCGTAGTACTATGGTGCGCATGGATGTTGCTTGGAGGAAAAATAGAAGTTTGCTTCTCCTACTGGTACTACAGAGCCATCTCTTTCTACAGCTGTCGCTAGTCTGTAGCAGCGAGGATCTGAAATATGCATCATTTCTGCGATAAACCGAGACGAGTGTAGGGAAAGTGGTAAAATAGACATTAAACTGGTAAATCTCCACTTTGTGGAGAAACCATGGTTTCGTACGCTGTACAAAAATAGCTTTGCAGCCAGTGATTTTGATACTTTGAGATTTAAAGCAGTAGGAGAGGTTTTCGGATGTTTTTTTCCTCTTGTGCGGTGAAAAGAGATTTTCTGTATAAAACCCTTTAATCTTGTTTAGTAAAACTGTATTTTGCAAAATTTTAATGTGGAACTACATATTTTCCCTGTTGGAATAGCAATTACTTGCAGTGCATTTGAGGCCCTCGCTCTAGTACATATTTTGAAATTAAGACCTCTTCTTACTTGGCAGTGGACTTTACCTTGTGCTAACTGTGATGATGTGCCTTTCATCTTCCTTCTTGCTCCTTTTTTTTCCCTTATCATGGGAAGCAACATCATTTGAAGAAAAAAAAAAAAAGCAAAAATTACAATGTGTAATAGAATTTGAGTTGATTTTTTGTGAGTTGATTTCTTTGTGTGCAGAGCTCTTGTCTGAGGACACTGGGCTATAAAGCAGATTTAAAAACCAAAATTGTATTCATTTTCGGTATTCCCATGCTGCATGTGTTGGAGAGCAGAGATTTACAGTTTGACTCTGTAAAGCAGGTTATGTGGTCTTCGTGTGCGAAGCAGAATAGGTGGTTGGTTGATTGCGGAGCTACTTGGAATATAACCCTGCACCAAGGGCTCAAGAAAATAAACAAAATGAATTAAAAAGATACGAAGTGAGAGTGCTAATGATGTTTTGGCTTAAAGAAGTGAATCGCGCATTGGCCTGCTACTGCAACATGGCAAAGCTGTACTGTGAGCTGTAATGTTTTTGTCAAGGTGGTTTATGTTACTGCGTGATTATAAACGTCTTGGAAGATCTGTGGTGAAGCCAATTGATTAAATTTAGGTCTCCCCTTTAAAATGCACTCTGACCTTACCATGAACTGGAAGCTGGCAGTGCGTGCTCGGTAGCGCAACATTCGCTGCCTGTTGGTGATACACCTGGGCTACAGCATGTTTTAACCTCCTTTGGTTCTGTTTGCTTGCTTGTTATTCCCCTCTTATTCTGATGAATCCCTTTGTGTTAGGTTTTGTCTAAAAGTAAGCAAACATAGGACAAAAATCAGTTTCGTTGTTCAGCTCTGCAGACCCTGATACCTTTCAAGTGTAATATTGTTTGTGTGTAGGTAATGCATGTAGCTGACTACTGGCATGCTCCTGAAGCAGTTAAGAAGAGGGTTTCAAGTTTACAAACAGAAGATAACATATTTGTTCTGATTTGCTAATCAAATTTAGGGGTCGGTTTGTTTGTTTTTAATAGATGTGTGGGGGTGGAATGGGGAAGAGAGGAGCACATAGGAAAATAGCATGACAAGAAATGTTCAAGCTAAGTGAGACCCACGTTCTTGGAAACCTGAGGTGTTAATTATTTGTTAATTTTCATAACACTTACGAAAAATGTTTTCATAAATGTCCACTATTTTTTTCCATTCATTTTCCTTTCTCTTTCAGA